CTATTAGTAGATAGTCGATTATCGTATAATAGATAGTATCCTATCTTTATCTATAGGTATATATTAGCGAAACTACGCTAGGGACCTATTAGTCGAAGAGGAAGTTATTAAGCCCGATCTTTCCCGTATATATCTAGGTAATTGCCGTGCTAATATACTTAGGGAGGCCCTCGTAACGGTCTAGCGTTATCGCCTTATCGAACTAAGGCGGGAAGTTAGCGGGGTAGAGGGTAGTCCGGTATTATCGGATCGCGTCTTCCCTAGCGTTTTATCGGGCGGCCTATTCCTTATTTAGCCTTTCGAGCGACTTAGCTTTATCCGGGAGGTCGTCCGTTTCTATCTAGCTCCGGACCCCCCTTATCTTCTCCGCGAGGGGGGGTCTGCCTAGAGGTAGTGCCGCCGGGGGTCTACCCTCTCTCTAGCGTCGCCTCCTTTTAAGTATACCCGCGACCGCGTTAAACGTACGTCGGATTTAGCCTAAGAGCCCTAAGTCTTCTAGCCTTTAGAGGGTATCCGTTATTCTTTAGTTTAGGTAGAGGTCGATTAAGGGCACCTACGCCTCCGCTTTAACTTAATAGACTAAGGTCGCGCGGTAGGCACCTATTACTACCTAGAGGTAAGCTAACTAGTCCTAGGTAAGGTCCCGCGCGATTCCGCGTAGTTTCCCCCTCGTAGGCGTTATCTTATAGAATATAACTATAGCGTAGGAGATTAAGGACCGGATTACCTTACTATAGACTTCCCTAGCGCGTAGTAGGGTATAGCCCTACGTAGACGCCGCGAGCCCGGTTAGGGCTATAGTCTAGCGCTTTAACTTCGCTTAGAGTTATTTTAGGTACGCCTTTTAGCGTAGTTTCCGGTATACCTAAACCCCTAGTAGGCGGGCCTCTTAGACCGGGGTTACCACGTTAGCCCTAAGGCGTACCGGCGTCGTTATCGCTTATCTCCTTCGTATAAAGTATATTAATTCGCTCTTCGACGGTTTAAAAGTAACCGCGAACTCGGTCGCCTATTCCGCGTATACCCTCTAGGCTTCCTTTAGGCGTGCTACCGTAGTAGCCTCGTTAGGTTTAATACTAACTATATTTATATCGTCGGTAAAGCTAATAGTATAAATACTATATATCGTACTAAGCCTTTTATATAGGGGGGTTATATAGTATAGAAATAGGATTAGGGATAGGGGGGAGCCCTAAGGGACTCCTATTAGTACTTACGTTAGCTCTAAGGTCCTCTTATCGAAGTAAAGGGTTAATCTCCTATCGCTTACGAAGCTCTATATTAGGCTTATAAGCTACCTAGGGTATCCCTTAAGCTCTAGTTCCCTTATAAGCTTATTATAGTTAACTATATCGAATACGCCTTTAATATCTAGCTATAGGAATAATATAATACCCCTCTAGGCCTACGTCGCGCGTATTAGTTCCGTTACTAATAGGATCGCCGCCTCCGTAGAGCGTTCCCTCCTATTCCCTATTTATCCGTCTAGTAGGATACCGTTCGCCTCCGCTACTCCCGCGATCCTCTAGGCTAGTATCTACTTAAGTACTTTTCCTACTATAGGTAAGAGGGAGATTAGTCTCTAACCCCCTACTATACGGTAGGCGTCCGGCCTCTTACCTAGCTTTTAGATAACTACTATATTCGCGCTATAGAACCGACCTAGGAAATATAAGAGTCGGGTATAGGCGTTAAAGATCGTAGCTAGTCGCTAGACTAGGGCTAGGCCGTACTTCTTAATAAACCCTAAGGGGACGCCGTCTAGACCCGCCGCTTTCTAGCTTACTATCTTACCTAGCGCCCCTACGACATTAGCTAGCTAGATCTATTAGTTAACTATAAGGGTCGCCTCGGCTATAGGCCGGGGTAGCCCTTAAGTCGTGCTAGCCTTTAGTAGGAAGAACTTAGCGGCTAGTAGCTAGGCCTTCCCTTCGAAGGTTTCTATTAGTTAGTCCTCGCCTTCCTTAACTAGTAGTAGGATATAGGTCGGTTCCGGTAGTAGCTTACTACGGAGTTTTACCTACCTCTTTACGTTCTAAAGCTTAGTATTATCGGCGCTAAATTCCTCTAGGAACTCGAGCTAGTAGGCCCTCCTTACCTCGCGGATAGTCCGCTTCTAAGCTATAGATGCCTCGTATAGGTCTTCCTAGTTCGCCTCGTTCCTTTCCCGCTTATACTTCCTCCTCGCCCTCTTAGCCTCCCTCGTCGCCCTCCCTACCTCTAAGGTAAACTATACGTTGCCCTTAAGTAATGCTCGCCCTTAGCGCGGAACTATAGCTATCGCGATCTACGCTAGAGTAATAAAGATATAGTCTAGGTCCTTATTAATATCCTTAGGCGTTTAGAGTATTAGCTAGTATAGTCCTAGCCGGGATATAGTCTCGGCTTCGACTAGCTTTACTTCTACTTCTTTCTACCTTAAGGCCGGTTTAGGTGCCTAGGCCTAGGTATCGACCTATAGTATAATAGTTTAAGGGATATAGTCTAACCCGGTTAGGTCTAGGTCGGGCCCGGTATACTATATTCCGGTCTCTAGCGTTGCCTAAGCTAGGTCGATAGTGCTATCCCTTTAGCCGTAGAAGAATCTTATATACTCCCCTCTTAGGGTAGCGAGTTCGAGTCGTAGCCTTATCGCCTCTTATATAAGTTATATCGCGCTATCCGAGGTTCTATTATATCCGTCCTAGAGTAGGTAATAGATATTAAAGTCCCCTACTATTACTATAGGGTGCTCCGGTTCGATTACGCTTAGGTCGCGTAGTGCTCTTACCCTCGCAGCCCCTAATAGTAAGTAAATCGCCTATAGTCTAGTACTATCCCCGAAAATTACCTCGCTTTAGTCTAGTTTAGACCGGGGCGACTAAGTCCCTAGCCCGAGCCTTTTATATATATATAGCGCGCACCTCCCCTCCCTATAGACTAGGCTATAGGGCGCCGCTCTAGGGGGGGGGGGGCCGCCTCCTAGTATAGCTTCTACTTCCTATAGTACTATTAGGTCGAAGCCGGCCTAGTAGCAAAGCGCTAACCGAGCTAGCTTATATCTCTTTTATATATTCTAGAATAGTACTTTTAGTTATATATAGGTAGGGTCGGGGTAAAAGGGGTCGTCTATATAGGGAGGGAGGCGCTCTATCTCCTAGCGCTTCTCTATCTACTATACCTACGAATATCGTTCGTACTCGGTTCGGCCTCCCTAGCCCTACTAGCCGGCGGGTGTCTCGAGCTCGACCTCTTATCCCGGCGCGGTCTACCTAGTCCCCGCTTCCGGACTACGGTCGATTTAGGAACGCCCTAGGTTTCGACGGTAGGGAGTACCTATTGCTCGGCGTACGTCTAGGTATTCGCGAACCGTTAAGGTTATCGCGGGTAGTTTTCCCTTACCTTTTCCTAGGCTTTATTCGCTATAGGGTAGGTCTAGGTCTATAATAAGTAGTCTCCTTAGTATAAGATATAGTTATAGGGGATTTCGCCCTTCTTAGCCCTATATTTATCCTCGCCTTTATTATATACTATACTCCCGTATTAGCTATAGAGTTATATCGATATATATCGCCTAGCGATATAGCTATATCTATAGTAGTTATAGTACCTCTATAGTTAGACCGACTTATCGTAGGGTTTATATTAGAAGATCTATACTTTAAGGACTAGGCTTAGGTCGTAGAGCCTATTAGCCTCCTCTAGGCTACCGACCTTAATAAGTATAGTCGTCGCCGTCGATATCTTAGATTAAGGGCGTAGCGCCTAGGCCTAGAGGACCTCGACTTTATTCGCCTCTATAATCTTATAGAGTAATCGCTCCCTATCTACCGTCGCTACCCCTAAGGGGACGTTCTTTATAACTACCGTATACGCGCGGCGGGAGATCGTAGCCTCCGGTCCGAATACGGCCTTAACCTAGCCTTAGTCCCTCTAATAGGCTCTCGCCGCGGTATTAAATATAACCGCGATATCTCCGCTTTAGAGGCGCCTCGCCGCTATAGCGCTTATAGCTTTTAGGGCCGTATTTACCGCCTTTACTATATCCTTTAGTTCGCGGCTTAGGATTTCGGGCGGTGCCCTAGTAGGGACCACGATAATCTCGCGTTTATAGCGCGGTAAGACCTATTTTACCGTAGCTTCGTATTAAGTTAGTCCCCTAGTCTCGGCCACGACCGCGGCCTAGGTTCGCTTAGGGCCCCTAGGGCCCGAAGCGATGCCTAGGCGGAGTTCTTCCTTAACTACCTCCTTAATTATATCCTAGATTATCGTCTTAAAGCTCTCGTCCGCGCGGAGCACCGCCGACGACGCGCTACCGGCGCGGCTCTTCGCCCTAGAGAGCCGTTCGACTACTGCCTATACCCTGCCGAACTATGCGCTTAGGATAAAGCCCGCGAGTTCGTCGTATGCTGCTTTTTCTATGGGGTCGCTCGGCGCCTAGGCCGGTGTCGCATCGCTGCTTTAGGTTTATTGACTCGCTCTATCGGGGTATATAAATTCGGGTAGCGTCTCTTCGCGCCACGCGCTCTAATCGAGCCTAGTGCGTCGAGGGCCGCTACTATATCCACCTACCCCTCGGCCTCGGCGCAGCATCGTTACTAAGGGTAATTAATGCTGCTAAATTAATTCCTAGTATTAGTTAGTATTTTAGTCGCGATGCGCACCCGCTACGGGCGTATATTAGTTTCGCGAGAAGTTTTTTTTAAGAAGATCTATTAATATTATATATATATTAGGTTATATAGATATAATTAAAATAGAATATATAATAACCTTTTTAATATAATTATAAATAAGAATTTTATATTTAATTACCTGCCTTATTTTAAAGTATAAGCTTATCTTATTTATATTTCTAGCCTCTCTTATCTTAAAATTAATAATAATAAAGTCGTATTAATACTATTTATATAAATAAAAATATATTATTAAATATTTAATTTAATATAATTTAGTAAGTATATACTACGTAGCTTAATTTATAGTAGTAATATAATATAATCTATATTTACTAATTATTATAGAGATATTAAGCATCGAACTTAAAATAGTAAAGTATAAGTTTACGGTTTTACCTAATTAAACTATACCCCCTAATTACTAAAAGTAGTATTATATTTATAATTAATTTTTATAAGGAATAATATTTATATTTTTAATGTTTTAAATAAATTATTTTATATAGATTCTAATTTATTTAAAATAACTAAATCTATTAAATAGAGTTAATTATAATAATTTTTATACTATTCTTCCTTATATAGGATATATATTATATTTAACTATATCCCTTTATAATAATCTAAACTTTTGCTTTTAAGTTCTTTTTAATTAATTATAATTTATCTAAAACATTTATAAAACAGTTTATAAAAAATAAAACTTCTTTATTATAAGCAGATATATACTTATATTTTTATATAGAGCAATAAATATTAATTTATTCTACTTTATAATAATAATTAGTAGTTCTATAATTATTAATATAGTAAATATTATTTAATTCTATATCTTTAATTTACTAACCCTAACCTAAAGGATATAAAAAATAAGCATTATTATTATTATTAAATAAATTTAAAAATCTTAATTATATATTATTAATATTTCTATAATTATTATTTATAATTTAAGTATTATAGACGAGGAATTCTACTATAAAATCTAATTTATCTAAATAATTCATAGTTTCTATATCTATTAAAATTATATCTAAGTTATAAAAACCATATATTAACAATATAGCAGCTATTAAATATAAAGATAATATTATAATAATTATTACATTGTTTATTTTTAAGTATTTTTTGGTAGTAAAATATAATAGGTTGAGTATTATAGTATAATATACTATAATGTAATAAAAAATATATTTAATTTGAATGTTATTTAATTAAATAAAAAGAGGCCTTTACTCTTTTACTAGCGGCCGGCTACCTTGCGTTGACTTGGTGCTTTTTATCGGCAAGTGTATATAAAAGGAACCGTGCTATTGGGTCGAGAGTATTGCCAGACGAGACGTCTTTCGTCTTCTTACCGCTGTCTTTGTGTCTTGGAACTTTGTCGCCTAGAGGCTCCCTTGGTTCAAACAGCAAAGGAGTCGCTGGCTTAGACCACATCACATTTAGCATTCTTAATGGATTACCCTGGTACCAATCTTCTTCTGTGCTTATCTCTCCTTACTTCTGAGGCTTAGAGGGAGCTTTCTTGCCCGCTTATAGAGTTAGCTTGTAAGCCTATTGCTATTCGTTGTTTAATAGGGAGGGAGGGTTTTAATTAGGAAAGATAACACCCTGCGGAGTAGGTCTATGGCAGCCGCCCACTGACAGGGCCCCCTTTCCCCTTAGGGAGAGATACCAATCAAGCTTCCTTCTTTTATTCCCTCTCTTGCTTGCTCCTGCTGTTGCATGTCGCCTTAACCTGCCCGCGCCAGCAGCAGCCGCGTGGGTAAGGTGCATAGATGCCGTTGTTAAATAACATAGTAGCAAATTCCTAGAATGTAAAACGCCCCCAGTACTTGATTCAACTAACACTTGGGGTTTTAGATACAATCAAGCTTAAAGCCTTGCAGATGAAATTTTCCAAAGGGAGACGTGGGAAAATGCTGCCGGCAAAGGATTCTAGTCTGGAGAGCCGGGGGCCTTTCGCCTCCTCAGATAGTTGTTGCTGGGCCACAACACTTGCAAATAGTGAGAAGGGCGCCAATGATGTCGTCCCCTGCCCATCATGATTCTTTCTGAACCATTTCAAGGATTCGGTTGGTAGATCATCGATCGTACATGGCATGGAGAAAACAGTGAACAAATGCTCAGAAGTATTAGATAGATAGAAAGCATAAAGCGTCCCTCTGCAGCCCAATGGGCCAGTTATGGGCGATATGCTGATACGTGTCGGGTAGACAGCACTTTTTATATATAGTTGTCAATATACATCTTAAATTTTCGTTCTAGAACATTTAATAGCTTGCTCTAGAATAGTTCCGAGGAAGGAGGTAAGACTTGACGCATCTTTCAGATTCGCACAGTAGACAGTAACGTGCTTAAAAGAGGAGAGCCAAAGCAGAAGCAGCGACAACAGTCAGAACGCTTATAGCGTTGCCGGTGCGAGCGGAGCCGGCAGTTTTAAGGCCTGGCTTGTCGGACCCGAGGCGGCTGCTATTTGTCGGAGTCGAAACGCCGGTGCCATTGAGCCGGCCGCCTGGGGGTGCCGGGGCACCCTGCGGGCTGTCCGGGGCGACGGTCTGTGGAGTGACATTCTCGGCAATAGTGTCGAGCATCCTCTCCAAGGGCGGGTTGGTCATTACCTCGCTTAGCGGGACCGGGGTCCTGGCGGCGACCACGTCTAGCACCGGCTTCTGGTCGACGCACTGCTCGCCGGCGCAGGCGCGTATGCACTGACACTGCGCCTCAGACTGGCACGGCTTAAAAACCGAGCCAGTCGTCATAGTTGTGCTGCCAGTGCTGCTCGACTTAACCTCGAGCTTGAGCACGAGGTTTGACATGCACTCGTCGTCGCCCTGGCACAGCTGTGGCTCACCGCAACTCCCGGCACCGCGGCTACATTTAAGTACAAGCCGCTCTTCGGCAGCCTTTTCCGGAACCGGCTCCTGACGTACATCGCTGCCCTGAATGACGACGTCGGTCAGCTTGTTGCCCTCGACCCGCAGCCGGCAGCTGTTCGAGTCCGACTGCTTGATAGTTTGGACGAAGCCGTTAAAGGAGTGCCCCTGGAATACGCTGACGACGTGGCCGTGGTAGTGCGGCTCGCAGGGCTCGTAGTGGTACCGGCGCTGAAGCTCCATGTTGACCTCGACGACGTCGACGACGAGCATGATGCTTAAGCTCTGCGCCTGCTCGGGCACTGTCTGTATGGAGAACATGCCGCCGCGGATCTCGCACGGGCATTTAGTGAGCTCGAGCATGATATCTTCGACTTGCTTTTCGGGCACACGAGTGAGGTTACTCTCGGCTGAAGTCTTTCCTTTAACCCCATATTCCGTGGTCGTCTCGCCTGAAGTCTTTCCTTTAACCCCATATTCCGTGGTCGTCTCCTTGGGCTTTGCGCCGGCCGTGGGCGCCGTGAGCACATAAGTTGGGGTCTGAAGTTGGATGTCCGGCGTGCCGGCAGTTGGCTGGAGTGAGGCGATCTTGGTCTGCTCAAGGTTGATTGAAGATCGGCCAGTCCATGTCGGATCCTTCTCGGGAGCTTTTGATTCAACATAGCCTGGAAGCCCAGCGATCGGTCGACTAGTGGCAGCGGGACCCTCCGGCCGAGGATTTATGTAGTCTATGCCCTGAGGACCCTTCTCTCCGCAGGCTCCCATTTTGGTATTTTCACACCCCTGGCGCGGTCCCTCGATTGGTCCATTGGCTGGCCACTTTGGGCCTGAGTCTGGAGAGAACGGGCATTCGGAGCAAACTTGTATAGGGTTACCGCCACCGGGCCCGTACGTAGGGACGCAGCTGCCCAGCGCCGCAATGGTGAGGAATAGAACAAGTTTCTTTTTATTTGCGGCCATGATTTCGAGTTTTTGACAGGCGTGCGGGAAGGAGGATGGTATTGAATAGCGGATAAAATTGAGAAGAACGGGAAAGGTGGTATTGAACCGAGACAGAAAGAATGGAAACCATAGAATGAGCGACAGCTGCCCACTAATGAAAGTAGCAGAGGAGCAGGATAATAGGGAGGGGAGAGGCACGGATGAGAGAGGGATATAGCTTCCAGCTGTAAGTTCGGTCGTCCACATTCCCCCACCCCGCCAAGGTGTCGTTAATGCAGCCTGGCTTTGCATAGATCGAATTAAATCATAGGACATTGACGATACCGACGTCAGCAGGGAAGATGCAGGCCCATGTTTCATGTTGTGTGCCCTGTAGCCCGATCTGCCTCGCTCCCTTTTTTTGTACGTACTTCAACCATGCCGTACTTTAAAAAGAACAAATCCATTGATACAAGTACTTTCGCATTGACAATATATGACTTAGCCTCTTTTTATATGGAACCGGCATAGGAGTACTATGGGTAGGTCGTCTCCCTTTAATCCCATTGACACGTACAGCCACGCATACCTTATGCGCGGGCCCTACCTAAGATCACCTAACTATAGCTAGTTGCCGTTGTTTGAATTTGGCTTGACTCGACGCTTGTAAGTGATGGCTCTTAGCTTCTTACTAGCTTGAGCCGCAGTCGTACTGTAGTAATATTAGCTACCGCTTAGACAAGAGGTTTAACTTCTGAGTAAAACAAGCTTACGTGTTTATGTTCTAGTTTAAGAATTCTTCCTTACCATGCGACGAGGTTAGTGAGTTTTTCGTTCTCTTAGGCAGGCTGACCGCGAGCAAGTCGACACTCTTCCGGATCGATCCAGCGGCTCCTAGATGATTCCACAGCCGCTCAGAGGGAGGAAATGACGTAGCCATCATTACATAGTTTCCGTTATAGAGCTGCAGCCAGTTTACGGACTATCATCAGTTGAGGCCACTGCTGTTCGTCGCGCATCGGCCGGGTCTGGCTTTTCTACTGCAAACAGCCGGGTCTGAAGTACGTGGCAATTTAAGTTTAGTCTTTGGACTGTTTGGCATGTGATTACCATGGTAAGAAAGTACCGAGGGCGATCGGTCAACTGATTTGCTTCACAATGCCTCCCGATTGATCAGTCACGCTCTCCATGGGCTTCTGTACTGGCCTTGAAATCTGAACCAACGGACATGATATTATTGACTGTAAATCTTCACCCACGCAAAATGTGCTCATGGGTGTCAGCCATTAAGCAACCGTCTAGGAAGAACCCGGGGCGTGGGTTGAGAAACGCGTGAGAGCAACGCAGATAAGTCAGTCTGCAGGATTATTGATCTGCAACAACGTCTAAATTTTTAACGAACCGCAGGTCTACCATGAAGTGATATGGGCCATTCTCTTCGGAAAGCTCCAACTGGACAAAGAACTCGGCTGCTTTGGACGGTACTCTTTTTCTTTTGTCGGGACGCCCTCGCAGGTGGCTGACAGTCTGGAGACTTGGGTGGATGGGGCAGGCGTCTATAGCTTTAACTTTGGACGCGGCTCATTCGGTCTATTGCAGTGAAGTTGAAACAAGAAGGTGCTCGCTAACATTATAACATGTATATACTACTTTTCAGCCTTCCAAAGATATTGCCGAGCTACTTAATGTAGTGCTTCGAGCCCGAGGTCTAGTCTAGGATTAAGCCGCTGCGGGATAGATATACCGGGCAACTTTTAGACCCGGCCGGAGGGCGGCCAAATATCTATAACTGGCCTCCGGGTGCTTATGCTACTCATCATTAGATCCTAAATGGAAACGCAAAGCTACCTTACGCTGCGACTATTCTGTGTGAACGATGATATATATGGGGAATGCCGAAAAAAAAACACTAGGCAATAGTTGAGTTAAGAATAAATCATAAAAATCACTGCGAAACTGGTGTGCTCTTGCTTAAAATTGCGGGCTCTCCAGCGAATAGTATAGAGTAAAGCAACAGGCAAGCTTACATGCCTGAAGCTATTAGTGAACATGCGTGCGGTATCATGGTATGCAGTTACACCAAGATCCGTTGGCTTTCCTCCTCGGGCACCGGGTGACATTGCATGTGCGCGGGACAAGGAGATAGGGTGGTAGAAGCTTTGCTGTGCCAAGCAACATGTCACCGAAAAATAGATACAACTGCCTCAAAACGCTTGTCCGCCAGGCATGTATCTGTGTTCTTCTCCACAAATGGGAGCGCGGGACTTGAGGGCAAAGATGGAAACCGAACTCGGCCAACATGAGCCGAAAAACATCAGCACGTAGGCGAAGCGTAAAAGACGTAGCCAAAGCAGGCCGCAATAGGACAAGGAACCAAATTTTGCACGGAGACAAGGATTAGTGTATCGACAAGGCAGACCTTGCGGAGCTTAAGGCGATGCTATCGTGATCTTATTGCTTGAACGTGTGGTGACTGTCATGATCTGGTAACCCGCTACGAACGTTGCTACCACGCTGAATCATCACACAATCTCATCACGAAGACAATAGCTATGACTTCCATTGCAAACCTTATCTAATGCTGCGAGTTACGACAGATACGTGTTGCTCGGGGACTCTAGAGAAGGTCTCTTGGCTGATTTTGGTGCAAGGTATGAGTTACAGATACTCCCGTCTTCTAGCAAGGGCAAGCGGAACATACAGCGCCGCAGTGTTACCTCCGTTATGCCAAGCCTTAGGAAATTGGTCAGGTGCATTGAACGGCGGACCCTACAGCCTGCGCTCAATGTCGAATCCTAAGTGATTTGGACGAGGTCCAAGAACCCACTCTACTGCGGAGATTCAGCATCATCACTTGGATTCACGATGCCAGCACAAGCCGCTGCCTTCTTTTGGCACCAAGGGTGGCACGGCTCAAACGTTCCCAGTACCTCCATCTTTCACTCTCGCCTCTCAGCGTCAAGGTACCAATGAAACTCCAACAAGAAAGAATAAGAGTGAGGTTGACGGGCGATCTCAACGATATATATACGTCATTTTTGGTCCACGTGCAGATGGTAGAGCGTCTAGCGCAGTACAGCCTCAGGGGCCTCTCTATCCGCGCTCCCTCTGGTATACAGCGTGCTTACCAGGAAGAGCTCTTCGTTTCCAGCATCAGCCCTACGTCTTCCTCCTTGAGGTGAGCCAGGCCTCAGTCGCTGCTATGATGAGGGCATTCCCTCATGGCTATGCGGCAAGTCCTTGTTAACTGCATCGGGCGGCTCCCTGAATAAGACAAGAGTACATGCAGGCCGCCGATGGATTTCGCTGGCCGTGCCGGGACTGGGCCGATAACTCCGACATGGTTATGGCGATGGCCTCTGCTAGCGGGCTTTACAACTTCTGGAATGGACAGGAATTGCAGGCACATCACATCGACAATCCTTTTTTACATATAGGGTTCGTCGTGCTTTGGACGGAGCAAATGAGCGGTTCCCTCCTCAACACAAGCAGCAGACTTTGCGATGCCAGCGCCTTGGAGCCATCTCATGGAAGCAAGCTCACTCGTCCGCAAGACCGCACTGGCAAATGGTGGCAGGTAGCGAAATTCTCTTAGATTCGAAAACACCTCCAGCAAGCAAAGCAGGCAAATCGGAGTTACTTCACGATGTTAGTACGATGCGTTAACTCGCGTAGCAAACTCTAGGAAGATCACAACACAAAGTAACGATATCGTCAGCCTCGAGGCGTTGCAAACTCATATCAATTGGGACCTCGCATGCGAGACCATGGCATTTCGCCCGACTTGGCGAGTTTCGATCCTCTTGTTTTCCTTTCTGACTCCCCTATTTTACGAGCCCGAGACCACCATGACGTCCCGGTCTCTGCTGCAACCCTCGTTCGCGCGGCGCCGCGTAGCTCTTGTAACCAAGTCATTGTGGAACATCCAGGGCCTCAGGCGGGCGAAGAAAAGAGGCCCCTTGCCTTCGCCCACAACTACGACAGTAAATGCGACTTTCTTAGCATTCAACAGCCACAAATGTCAATAAATCGCTTCACATGACACGGTAGTCTAATTCTGCTACATTTTTCGTAGTTCTTAGAGCAGAGGGGCGATATATTTTGCCGGAAGCCCCGCTTCGTGTAAAACGGGACGGCTTCTCCCCCACCCGCATGGACCTCATGTGAGGACCAAATTTGCGGTATAAATGAGGGGGGACACGATGGGTCTCATGAGCCGCCTCTGCTGACCTGCGGCGCAGACAGCCCTTAGACAAGGAGGGGATAGCTCACCCGCGTTCGTCCGGTTCGACCGGACCTTTGTTCCTAGGTAAGCTAAACATCCATATGCGCGGCAACGCAGCAATGAGCCTTGTCGCTAAGAGCCAGCCACCGCCAGACTACGTGACTGCTGGGCAAAATCTGTCAGTGGAGGCGACTATTAATCCGCTGCTGCCAGGTCTCACTGTTAAGGTTGTCCTAGTCGTACGTCCGGTCTTCAACCTCGGGGTAAACCCGTGGGCGGACTCTAACGGGTGCCGAGACTCGAAGTGCGGCTGGAGGGTGTCACGCCTCCAGCCAAAGAGGGTTTAATACCCAAGGCTCAATGGGATACCAAGTATGTATGTCTTGACCAGGATGATACGCTAGTCAGTCCCTTTACTAGTGAGTGTCTTGTCACCGAGCGTCGCTTACCGAGTCTTAGACCGAGGAGCAATCATTTTACCTAGATGCACTGGTCAGGGTTGCAAATGTGGACTTTTTCCTCCTCCCACAGCACACACGTACCCAACCTGGTTATAGATGACCTCGCATCTCCATTCAAAATATCCCAAGATCGCCATCTTTCGTGAGCAATGCTTCCAGCTTGCCGACCATCTCGGGCTCGTGATCCGAGCTCGAGGATCGAGACTATTCCGAACACTCCTGGTTGCCCAAGCCTGATCCCAATGCCCAATCTCTTTATAGCCTGGCATATACGCCGGGTATTTCTCACCCGGCTCACCAACTCAGCTGGCTAGCATCTCTGCACAGGTGCGACGAGCCCCCGAGACATGCAGCGGCAGATGTGAGCCACGCCTTAGTTCTCAGCAAGTGCTTCTTTTTCGGGATCAATTATTAGTAACCGTTATTAAGTCACCCAAGACGTGGACAAGTGGACGGGAAGTACAGATTACACCAAGCTGTAGTCTTACGTGTCTTACGTTTCTGGGTGAGCTGGACGCCAATGCATGTCCGCTGAGGGCTGCGACTGCCGTAGTATAAGACGGCCCATCGGCATAACCCTTGTCTACGGTCGAGCCCTTCTGCCGTGCGGCAGTTTATCACTTCAAGCTTAACTAGTAAGCAGATGGTCTCGCTGAAGTCGCCTTACATCAGGCTCTACTGCATGTCGGTACAGAGAAGCACAGCTTGGGGCAATATGCATGTCAGCCGCTACTGAAGGGCTAGCTGCTTTATATGCCGCATACGGGCTCTACTCGCCGCTTCAGGGAGTTCCGGTTGCAGATCGACAATCTGCCGTCTGTCTTTGGCCTCTTAGCGTTTACTGTTCCATCTTTGTCGCTGTCATGGCCAAAGACGCGACCACATTTCTGTCCCCCAGGTATCCCCTGGAGGCAGAGTTTGCGTGCTAAGGTGGTTTCTTTTTCTCAGACCGCCTGCTTTCCCAGACATGTACTGCAGCTAAGCGTCGCCTGCTGCGATTTATTGAATGTTTGATACTCCGGACGATCTCGAAGCGAAGGGTTAGCGGCTGGCGGCTCTGGCAAATCGATCGGCTTATTCATACCGGCCATTAAGTGTAAGATTGACTTGTGGAAGAGAATGGCCAAAGTATAAATGTCAACGTCTTATCCTCCGTCAAAGTATACGCTCCAACCAATTCATCTGCATCAGACTCGATTCTTCACATACATCTGATAAGCCAGGAAGCAATTTGTTAAAGTCTTCCAATATGAAGTTCCTTACCATCGCCACCCTCTTTGTGTCACTGGCCCTCGCCGCGCCAACAGCTGAAACTGGCAAGGAGAAGGGCAGCGAGTGCAACAAGTACGACGACAACAAGGGTTACAGCGGTGGCTACAAGAACGACTACTACGATCAGAAGGGTGACTACTATGGTGGCGAACACAAGGGAGTCTACAAGAGGGGTGGTTACGGCGATTACTACGACGATGACTACTATGGCGGTTACTACGACGACGACTACTATGGCGACTACTATCGCGGCTTCGGTCGCCGACGCCGCCATCACCACCACCACCGCAAGCACGGGTTTCCCTTTTTTTAAGAGAAGGCTTGCCGCTTTATTACTCCGCTCCTGTTTCGACCCTAATGGACATACGTGAGAGGGGTTGAATAGCCAGAGCGAGGAGTATAATGCATGATTTGGCTCGAGCGAGCGCCCTTTTAGCTACAGCATACGCTAGGATTAATGGTTCATACTTGACGAGTAATGGCACTATCACCGTCCCAATCTATACGCAACGCGTGAGTGCCCGTTTCGAGGATCGAGACAGCAAAGGATTGTACGTATTGCAGGTCGATGTTTAGAGAGCGTCACAGCCGTCCGGGATACGCTTCGCCAATGTAATCCGCAGCAAACCTCATGAGCCTGCACCGGCTCAGTATTTATAGCCTCGACCCGGACAGCCGTGTACATCCAAAGCCAGAAGCATTGAGCAAGACAAAGAAGGGCGGAAGCTGGATAAATTTGTTACATGTATTTTCGAGAAAACAAGGACGAAGTGGCGTATTCCTGTATGTATACTTTCATCTGCTCCATTTGTCTCCTGTGAAAAGATTCATCTCCGCTCGTCCCTTTTTCGTTAAGCAACTCAACATTATTACACAATAACAACCGTACTAGTTTCCTGTATCTTCTTGTAAGAACGTGAGACCGGAGTCCGAATTTCCTCGCGGCAACACTTTTTTAGCCCCGCGCATTATATTTATCAGCAGATCTGGCTGGTTCGACGAGACTCATTGATGGCCAAGTCGACGGATATGGAATTCATTTTAAAACAAACCCCGAATGTACATTGAGAATGTGTACCGAGTCACGTGCGGCTACAGAGTGTCAACGGCCTATATCAGTTCGGCAATCTCATCGTAAGCCCCTTGAGACTTGAAGTCATGTCTGTAATGGCTGTTTCCACCGGGATCCTTTCCACAGAGCTTGCGCCATAGAACCCATGCACTCCTGTCGTGCGGCTCAAGACGTATTCCACCTCCTTTGGTGTAGCAATTGGTCCACCGTGACACAGCACAAGAATCTCGGGATTAATCTTGGCCGCAGCATTGCGTATCTCTTGAACCTGGACAACGCATTGATCAATGTCTTTGCCTGTTACTGCGCCTATCGATCCGCTGGTCGTCAGACCCATATGTGCGACTAGAATATCGGCCCCTGCGTTGGCCATCTTCTTGCTCTCGTCGGCATTGAACACGTAGGGCGTCGTAAGCAGGCCCATGGAGTGGGCGATGCGCACCATGTCAACCTCTTGGTCGTATGATATACCCGTTTCCTCGAGGTTTGCGCGGAATTGACCGTCTATGAGGCCAACTGTCGGAAAGTTCTGCACGCCCGCAAAGCCCATTTCTTGCAGGGTCTTGAGAAATTTGGGAATATCGCGGAAAGGATCTGTGGCGCAAACCCCAGCGACGACAGGTGTGCGTTTCACCACCGGGAGTACCTCACTTGCCTGTGCGGGAATGTCAGTGACGAAAACATGCTACGGTGCAGCAAGCCAGCTGCCGACTGCCCTTTGGGAGCAGAGGAGTAGATCATACCATGGCCACAACGGCGTCGTTGGCGTTGCCATACGGCATCAGACCGCACAGAGAACCGCAGCCCGCCATCCGAAATCGCCCACTGTTATAGACAACAATGAGGTCCCCATTCCCGGCCTCGATGGATTTCGCTGAAAGCCCGACGCCGGCCCCGGCCCCGACAATGGGCTTGCCCAAAGATATTTGGGCGCGCAGATTGGCCAGAATCTGCTTTCTGTCTTTGGGAGGCCCCATGGCTTGCTCTGAAGGAAGGTTGACGAGTGTGAGCCTGATTAGTCGATAACGTGAAGCGTGACCCTTGATTGACAGAAGACCACTCTACGTTACAGGACATGAGACGGCGAGGGGAAGCTCGTTGATATGGAGCAACTCTTCGTTGTGGATTCACCGCCCCGCACACGAAGCTGCAGCATAACTGTTGCACGGTGTTCGCACGGAGCAGCCTGCGCCATCACTTCCATTTAGAGGGGGGCCGAGGCTATACTCGGGTATCTCGCCGGGATCCCGTCTACTTTACACGGAAGCCCACCTGCCACCCCCCGCAAAACTCGTTATATTCTCATCGTCCACAGAACCTGCGTCTAACCCTTCAGCTGGAGGTGCTTCAGCGTGCATCGGTGCTCTCCAACAATGGCAACCGTAGCGCTCCTCGGCACCTTTGACACTAAGCTGGATGAATTGTTGTTCTTACGAGATCGCATCGAGCGCAACGACGGCGTCAAAGCTCTCCTCATAGACGTTGGTTGGAGGGCCGTTGACGCCGACGCTATATCCGTAACCCCAACAGAGCTCGTGTCGAGACATGGCAGCACCCAAGATGTGTCCCGGTTTGCCCGAGGCAAATACATAGATTTCATATCTAGATGCGCCTCCAGGGCCGTGAAAGAGCTCTATCAACGCGGGGAAATCGACGGTATAGCCTCTGCGGGCGGGTCCGGCGGCACCTCGATTGCATCTGCCATCATGAAGGATGTTCTTCCCATCGGATTTCCAAAATTGATTGTTTCAACAATGGCAAGTGGCGATACAAGAGCTATTGTGGGCGAAACAGACATCATCATGATAAACCCAGTCGTCGACGTCGCTGGACTGAATCAGATTCTCCGAGACGTCCTCAGGAACGCAGGGGCCGCCATTGGGGCCGCCGCACTCGCCTACGCAGCTTGCAGACTCATTCCAGGCCAGCAAGAATTGTTCACTCCAAAGAAGCGCGTGGGAGTCACAATGTTCGGCGTGACGACCCCAGGTGTAAACGCCATCAGAACGCACTTGGAGTCCAAGTACCCCGTCGAGACCTTTGTATTTCACGCCACCGGCCACGGCGGCAAGGCGATGGAGCGCCTCATACGAGACGGCAAGCTCGACGGCGCCATCGATCTCACCACTACGGAGATATGCGACTTGGTCATGGGTGGCATCATGTCTGCTGGTGATGGGCGTCTGGACGCGGCGATGGAAACCGGCATCCCCTGCATCATCTCGCTTGGGGCGACAGACATGGCAAATTTCGGGCCTCGGGATTCAGTTCCGGACAAGTATAAGAGCCGCAAGCTGCTTGAGCATAACCCCATGGTGACTCTCGTGAGGTCTTCAAAGAGCGACTGCAAACAAATTGGCGAGTTTATGCTGAGAAAGCTCAGAAAGGCAGCTAGACCAGACAAAGTTGAGTTGTGGATTCCGAAAGGTGGTGTGAGTGCGATTGCAGTTCCGGGGGGGCCCTTTGCTGACCTCGAGGCCGACCAAGTTACGTTTGATGTTCTGAGAGAAGGGCTCAAGGGAAGCAAGATTAAGGTTGTCGAGGACGAGAGAGATGTAAACGACGAAGGATTCGCGCGGGATATTGCAGAGGCACTGATTGCTGCAATGGGTGTATAGACCATAAACGACGTTGAAGGGTCTGCGTGCCATCCTTAATTCAAAATGAAAAAAGGTAATTCCAGGACATGATCTTAGTTGTGCTTCCAGACCATAGACACGCTCGCTTGGAACGTGCCCAAGGTTTAAACGACCGGTAGCAAATGCGATTCCGGATTCCGGGCACGGAGCCATTTAACGATATTTAATTGTATGCGGGCTCGGCCTCTGACCCCAAGAGATTCCGTCGAGCCTTATTTAAAGAAGACCAAGCAGCTCCAGTAAGAAATTGGATGTATTGGATTACTCTATTACTTTGAATGTCTAAATAAAATACCTGGTCATACATTGCCCAGAAAGACAAGGTCGAAATCAGGTCGTGATTAGAGGACGGCACTGACATTGCGTGGTATAGAGGCTTCGCTGTTCGGGCTCAACGTCGAGGTGTAGAAGCCGACAGACAGCCCTTCATCGTCAATTTTTCTCTCAAGACTCAAAGGACGCAATAGTACCGCAAAAGGTATTGCGGTTGTCGGCGTCCATCACTGCCGGCTTTCCATCCAGCGTTACCATGTTCGCACTGGCTTTGGTGCTAATGCCAAAGAGCTCGACTTTCGACTGGTCGACGGCGATCATGTTGTCTTGGCAGTTATTGGTCTTGAGACATTCTTGATCGTAGTTGTCAAAGAAGCTATACAGTCCACTACCGTAGACGAACACGCCCGTGGAGTTATTGACGCGCATACCCCAGGTGCGCGCGCAACGGGGACTGTTGGCGGCGCAGGTCGAGAAGTCAGGGTCCGCATACTTCGAGTTGGGCTTGAATGGCTGTTGAGAGTCTGGATTTCCTTGGTAATAGGCCGTCTCGGATTGAATAAAGGCCATGTATACATTCTCGGCGTTGTTTAGCTGGTAGTTGGACATGACGTTGTGCTCGGACGCGGTGCCCCAGAGCCACGCGCCCTTTGTGCTCTCAATTAGGATGCCACGGCCGTTATAAATGGTCAGCTGCACATCGTCGGGGTGAACCATTGGGTCGTATGCATCGAACTCGTGGTCGGCCACCCACATCCAAATATTCTCCAGGTACGGGCTGGCTGACGGCGTAACGTGCATAAGCATGAATGCGCCGACACAGTCCATGTTGACGTCCCTGGAGTTGGGTTTCTTCTGACACTTGTCAAGCTGCAGGTCGGTTCCATTGGCGCCACCGACGCGGAAATGAACGTCGAAGAGTCCGGCGGAGCCTTTGGTCTCCCCCGCGACGTTGAACTCGACCAGGATCGCGCCTGGCTGGGGGCCAACGGTCGCGAACATGAGGTCTTGTATCTCGACGTTGCCGGTTTCCCCTTGTTGGCCGATTTGGAAGACTGGCTTAGGATTCGCCTGGTCCTTAAAGTTCTTGTTACCGCCAGCCATGATAAGCGGCCATACTTCGCCGACGATCTTGACATCCTTGGGCACCTTGATCGTATCCGTAACAAGGTACGCGCCGTAGTCAAAGTAGACAATCTCCCCCGCCTTGAGGCAATGGAAGACCTGTCGGATAGCTTCGGTGTCGTCTGTCACTCCGTCGCCCTTGGCACCTCTTGACTTGACGGAGACGAATTGAGAGGAGGGAACGTCCTCATATTGGGGCTTGCTCTTGGTCACCACCTTGCCGTTATCGTCTTTCAGCGCGTCAGGCTTGGAGGCCACTTTCCTCGGGCCCCGCACGGTTTCGCCCGCGACGCCGGTATAGGAACGTCCCTGGGTCCAGGTCTCAATGCGTCGGTTCCCGTCGAAGACGACAGTGTCCTCTCTTTTCACAGCAGCTTCAACGTTCGACGACATATCTACGTTATCGAGCACTAGGGTGCCGTTCGTTGCCGATTCGTTGGGGTCGTAGAGAGTGGCGATGCCGACTTTGGTGTTGGAAATGGTACTGTCGAGCAACAAGACGGAGCCCACGGATGGCGTCTGTGTGGTCCCGTCACGGTTGGCCATGTTGATACCCACCTCGCTATTGCTAATTGTAACTCCGTGAAAGGTCCACAGCCAATTCCAAAGCATATTAATAGCGGTCTGACAGCCATTGAACGTCAAGTTCCGCGAGGTGAACTGCTGGCTGCCCACGTTCATGCCGTATTTGCCACCGTTGAAGACGAGATCGGTCATGAAGCCTCCGGAGCCATCTTCGATGAAAAGCCCCTGCTGAACGGCACTTTCGTTGGTATGCTTGGCCATGTTGAACTCGATGTTTTGCAGTGACGTGGCTTGGGCCACGGGCCAGTGAATCCCAGTTATGTTCTTCCCGTCTGCGTCGGTAAGATCAATTTTGAAGTTGCGGATCTGACGAAAGAAGTTGTCCCGGCTTCTCCACCAGGTCTTACCGTCTGCTCCGTAGGGATCGGCATCGATGACAAACGGTTTCTTGAAGTCGCCCCGAACCTTGATGGTAGGAGGATTACGAGCGTCCCCGATCAAGTGAGTGTAGTAGTACGGGATGATGGAGTCGGAGATGCTGTAGACGCCGGGGGGGAAGTAGATGATGGCGGGCGTGGTGGTGGAAGAATTGCAGCCCAAGCCGCACCGGCCGCCAGAACTGATTGCCTCGTTGATCGCTTCGGTATCGTCGGTCGACCCGTCTCCCTTGGCATTGAATTCGGCGACGTTACGGAACACCTGGTAGCTTTCCCTGTTGTTGGTGTAAGGGACGGAGCCCTGGCGCTTGATACTCGACATCCACCAGGTCGCTGCATTGCCGGTGGCGTTCTGGGGTGCAGACGCGGCGTGTGCCGAGCAGGCAAACTGCAAAGCCAAGCAGGCGGCTGCAAGAAGCGCTGAACGTGCCATTGCGACCAAATGACAATGGTCAACCGTCTAACCTTGTAACAGTCGAATGCTGTTACAGGAGCAACCCCGGGTGTGAAGGGGAAGCGTCACAGATATACGTAAGTCAAAGGCATAGATCCATAAAACAGCCCAGGAGAAAGTCGACTTCAGACTACGTATTGGGCACGACTCATGCGACAAGGCGCAAGGCCGCAAGCTCAAAACAAACGCGCGAAAGCCAAGATGGAGCCATTCTCTAACAGGGGAGAGCCCAGAGGCAGAGGGAAACGGGGCTTTCGCGCTGATGAATTCTTCCCCTTTCGGGCCAAGCAAAGTCACGTCAGTTTTGCTTTGCTTTCCCCAAAGGCCCACCGAAAAGGAAATGGGCATGGCATTTCCGCTGCTTCGTACAGAAGAAGAACCGTAGAAGCAGGCCCGTGTCTTGACTTGACTTGAATGAACGCAGCAAATGCGTCTAATAGTCGTCAACACAAATCCGGCAACGCTGGCGATGCGGCCTCAACGCGTGTATGTAGACTCGGGGCGAAAAGAGGAAAGGGAAGAGCGGCCTGAAACTATAAAGGGAGGGACAGGGAAATTTGCACAATGCGCAAGAATTGGACTGACAAAATGGCTCACAACAGATGGCCACAATATTGCGGACTATTTTTAACTTGAGCTGTTTATAGCATTGTCTTCGCCTCTGTCAATGGCGAGCTTTACAGCTTATTAGCTCGGCTGCAAATGCAATGTATTTCACCTTGTAGAGTTTATTGAGCGGCAATGCGGCCGCTTCACACTATTCTGTCTGCCGGCAATGGTAAATTGCGCGCGTCGCACACGTCCCGGCTATTACGCAGCCCACAAGTGGTCTTGACTTTGCCAAGTATGTATACTCGGGCTACTTCGAACGCAAACCAGCAATTGCCATGTCACTATCGAATCCGTTGAGAGAGCGCAAGGGTCCATGTTCAGCTTCGCAGGCCGAGGGGGAAGACTCTTGTATGTCTTTACGCCCTACGAATGCATATGGGCAGACAGACTCGCACCAAATCCCAGGTTGTCATGCAAAAGCATACCGCGGCATATGTACAGCGGTGCAATAACATCGCTTGGCAAGCCGCGCGTCACCTAGAACGCGTCGTGCATTGGGGCAATTCGACCCTTGAGGGAAACCCCCTCCGGTGCAAGTACTTTATCATCTCAACAGTCGACACAAAAGTCGCAATCAGGCGGCCGTGGCCTACCCGGCTTTGCATGTGTGGAGCTTCGAGTTTCGCGGCGCGCGGCAGACTCGGCATCTCCCACAGAGGGCCCATGTCCAAATCTCCTCGAGTCATTGCCAGCACAATGGCTTCGGCCATCCCGAGCAACTTTCGCCATGGTAGCTCCACGTCTTGAGCGCCGCGAATCAGCTTCTATCAAGCGCTACCCGAGGATACCACGCTGCACATCACCTAAAGTCGGAGCAGGAAGCTTGTCAAGATCGCAATTTTTCACCACGTCCTTCGCCCTCTGTACATCAACCCCAAGGCGGTCGAAAAGCCTTTCAAGCTCAACATAGCGTTTCAGGGCGAGTCCCGCGTAACCATGATCGAGCTCGTGGGCTCGTGGCTTAATGACGTTCTCGTATTTCCCCGCAAGCATTCTTAAATCTGCCGGATCATGGAATTTAGCCCGCGTGGCAGCAGCGCGGAGCTTGCCTTTAAATAGATAAAAGGGGTCGAGGAAGTAGGAAAGGTCTCGGCCGAGGGAGAGGCCTTCAATGACAAGAGCCCTGCGCGGCACGTTGCCCATCATATACCTGGATCCTAGGTAGCGGACGTCAGCAGCCACACGCGAAAAATCTCGCATAGCACTTACCAGGGAATTTTTCGCAGAAGATTTCCACCAACACAGCATTGTTTCTATCAGTCTTATCGGACCAAAAGAAGGCCACATAGTCCTGACGACTCTGAGGGATTGCTTGAAAGCCGGCTTTGCCGTCGAGTATCTCGACGATTTCGTCCTTGGATACGGAGGCCAGACAGTCGACATCCTTGCTCTCGCGGACGCCTCCCAGAGCACCAATGGCATAGCCGCCGAAGATGCCAAAAATTATATGCGCCGTGTCCAAAGCGCGATGCAAGGCGATGGCTGCATCGTTCAAGCGTGCTTGAATCATTACAGGTGACAAAGCTTAGGACTTGATGAGATGGGCCGATCCCAGAGCGTGGGTCAAAGGGAACCTTGAGCAGGTCTTGGCTGACTCTAGCTGCACGAGAGCAACGAACATTATATAGGTCATCTTCGCGAGTGCCTTTTGATGTGCACCAGACGAAGACGAGATGGGGCGGAACAACATTGGCACTGAAGGTGAGGTGAAAGCGCAGGGTCACTGCCTCCGTGAACGGGATTTACCAATAAAAAGCCTTGCCGCCTATTTGAGAAATATCAGCTGATGTCTCCTTATGCATGGTAAGGACCAACGCCTTTGATGATGGAGGAAATAAGTACATCATCTGCATCCGCGCCTAGAATTGACCTGCAGGTAGGTCCGGGGAAGGAAGTCTGGTCCGAACCGTGATATGTCCCATTCTCGACGGGCCGAGTTTGGCCCAATCACGTTCCCTTACACGACCAACGCTCATTCGAACCCAGGAATCAGTCGTACATCATCCGCTTCCTTCTGATCCCCGATGAAGCAGGTGACTTTGTTTTCCGAGACGTAATCTATTCTCGAGGCTTTGCTGCTGATTTGCTTCATGACCAGGGCGACTAGTGCAGGGCTTAAGCCCGCCAGGTTTCTCCGTGCCCAAGCGTCGTCCAGGTTCATTCCATCAACAAGCTGCTCAACGGCAATCATGGCCATATCATCCCCTAAGTCCAAGTATCTCTGGGCCAGGCCCTTGAGAAATACGGCTAGACGAGGCAGGGGCAGGCCGGTAATGCCTTGTCGCTGAAGATGGGATATCTCTTTGCTTATGTGGTTGGTCCGGCCGGAAACGGGCTGTATAATGGCCTTGTCAATAGGGTCCAGTCCGTAGAGCGAGGCTGCAAAAATGACGACAGCTTGGGGAGGGTTGGCCCAGCCGGTGGTCCGCACGCGTGGCAAACCCCGTTTATACTCTGTATAATTGTTGAAGTCTTGGTCTAGTTGACATGGCTCAAACAAGCCTGTTGAGCACAGAAGACCAGCTGCTGCCAGAGAGCTTGACTTGGGCACACAAATCTCGAGATCCTGCGCGTGGTCAGTGTTGGGATACTGAAGCCGAAGGATTCAACAGGGAAGCTGACGTGACAGACGCGCGGCACGTTGTAATAGTTCAAGGCGAGCTCTCCAGTGACACACATTGAGACACCATGGTGCCTCAGGATGTGAGCAATCACCCTGATGGGCGTCAAGTCCATTGCGGGAGTTTGTTGACCGATGAGGAGTAAGATGGCGACCGAGCACTCTGATGTTGGCGAGGCGCCCCCGCTCGACCCCCGTCTTCTTTGAGACAACGGAAGCGGAACTTTATAAGCGCCGTCAACAATCGCACAATAACTTATCAGTTCGCTATTATTAAGTGTGCTTGGTATCCAGTCCATTGCACGCAACAAACAACTCCACAGGTGACCAGATGCGTGCCTTCTTCAAGGCACTTCCGAGGCGCCTCCGCCGACCTGGCCGCCACCGCCTGCAGATCTTGTCTGACTTGCATCTCGAGGTTGGTCAGCAATACTCGACATTTGCCTTCCCCGCGACCGCGCCATTTCTGCTATTGGCGGGCGACATCGGTAGGCTTGTCGACTACAATAGATACCTTTGCTTTCTCCAAGCGCTTGCCTCTCGCTACCAAAAGGTCTTTCTCGTGTTGGGAAACCATGAGTTCTACGGCATGGACTACGAATCCGGGCTCGTTGCGGCGCACCGCCTCTCGGAAGAGCCTTCCCTGGCCAATACGCTCGTCCTCTTGGACAAGGCCCGTTGGGATGATCCCAATTCCAACCTCACCATCCTGGGCTGCACGCTCTGGTCTGCCATCCCCGATGAGGCTTGTGGCCTGGTCGAATCCAAAGTCAACGATTTCAAGAAAATAATCGGCTGGACTGCGCGGAAGCACAACAAAGTCCACGCCGATGAGGTGGCCTGGCTTCGTCACCAGATTGCGCGAAACAGCGACGCCAAAAGACTGCTCGTGGTGGCGACGCACCACGCCCCCTGTCTGGAGGGCACTTCTCAGCCCGGCCATTCCGACAACCCATGGTCGTCGGCATTTGCAACAGATATCTTGACGGAAGGGGGATGGGACGACGTCAAGATCTGGGCCTTTGGCCACACACACTATTCCACGGATCTCACCTTGCCCAACGGCATCAGATTGGTGGCTAACCAGCGGGGATATGTGCTTCCGGGCAACGCGATGCGAGGAGCTGTGAGCAGCAAGACGAAGAAAGGGGCCCATGACTTCTATCCCGGCATGTCTGTTGCCCTGGAGCAATGATTGTTCTGGCTGTTTGGCGTGACCGTCCGTATTTCCACGTACCACTCGTACGCAGACGGCACTTCACATGTAAAGGGAATGATCGCAGGAAGCGCCACATCTCACCACTTCTCCATGACCATCTGACTGTGCGAGAGTAGCGTCATTGGCGTGCGAGAGAATGGATGATGCATGTCTCAGCGTGTTCACACGAGGCGGTCCGGCTGGGCAAACATCCGTCGCATCGCGGAAAGACTACTCTACGGCTTCATCAATTCTTCTTGGGCTGGCGCATGGAGGGTCGGTGCAACCTGTCTCCGCTCCCAGGACCCAAGAAATTCCCATCTCGTACTACCCCAGTCCTGTCCCGTTATTTAAAGCCGCCGATTTCCCCTCTTATTACGGCCCGAGTCGCATGTCTCGAGTTCCTCGTCCGTACCCGCAGAACACACAGAGTGAAACAGCCGGGTGATCATTAAGAACGCTTTGTCGCTCACGCACCATGGCCCCGGAACGGTCGGGAGAGAAGTCGATTGTATTCTACGACATCGCTTCTGCCCCACCAAAAAGGACATATGCCCCAAACCCGTGGAAGGCAAGGTGGGAGACAATTGGTCGAGTCTCAGCTACTGGATTTTCCTGCTGACACTCGGGCCGTCGGCAGACTTGCCCTCAACTTCAAATCTGCCTCCTACAGCACGGCTTGGGTTGAGTTGCCGGATGTGGCATCGACCCGCACGGCACTTGGTGTCCCTCCAAGTCGCAAATTCCCCGATGGCAGCGATTTCCACACCCTGCCTCTTCTCCACGACAAGATGACGAACCAGTATGTCGGCGACTCCTTTGATATCGCACTGTACCTGGACGACAAGTATCCCGACGGGCCTCGGCTGATTGCCCAAGGCATGGCCGGCGTGACCAAGGCCTGGAACGATCGGATCGACCAACTCTTTACGCGTTTTGTCAAGCTTTGTGTCGACGGCATGCCGCTCAACCCTGATAATGCCGACATCTGTCGCCAAACCTTTGCGAGCAGGGGTCGATTGATGGGTTGGGATGGCGACTGGACGGTAAAGGGTGACGAAAGAGGAGACATGTTGGCCGAGTTTCAGGCGGCACTTGGCGAATTGGAGATTTACTATTCTTATACAATTGACATGCAGCGTCGCGCTGAAAGCAGTGGACCTTTCTTATCTGGAGAACAACCCACATACGCCGATCTCATTGTGGGCGGTTGGCTGGGCTACGTCCACGAGACACTGCCACCTGCCGAGCTTGCTGGATTCCAGACCTGGCATAACGGTCGGTGGGGAAGGATTTGGCGGGCTCTGGCTAAGTACGCCGATAGTACAAAGTAGATGCTGGGCTTATTGTCACGGCCCAACGCGTGCTATAGACTAATGCCTTGAGGAACGTAGTAACGAAAGGTTCTATTAGTTTCCCCTAGGGATAAAACGCCGTAACTAATATCTCCCCTACAAATGCTGCCCTTTAATTATTTACTAAATCTTACTTAAAAGAATTGCTACTTATATATATAGCTAGGATGCTATAACGAGGCGTTTAAAAGCTTAAGGGCTTTTAAGAGTAGCTAACTAGTAAACTAGCTAAGAAAGATATAAAAATAAAGGAAAAGTTAGTTTAGTTCTTTTTTAATGGGGCGAGTATACAGATAGCAATACATACATGTACAATTAGCAATACTCTTGGGCTTTATGCTCCATTGCGTTGGCTGTGATAGTGGCGCCGTATTCGCCTCCTCTGCATAAGATAGAGAGATGCGCCGGTGCTACCGTAAGCAACGCTTCGATTATCAAACGTTGCCAATCACAGCTTGTAATGGTTGTAATAGTCAGTACGTTTAAGTTTGAGGGTATCCTGAGTATCATGACCCACCTATCGTAAGCCTCACGAAGCGCGAAGTTATGACGGTGATCACGGTGAATCCCGGCATTCACCCTCCTGCAGGGAAGCGTAGACCTGCTGTAGTTTCCTAGCGAGGCTGACTCACGTGGGCAAAGGGTTATGTCTAACAATTTCGGTGCCTCCACTAGACCTTGTCTCGGACGTAAGAACGATGGACCGGACTTAGACCCTAATATCCGACACCTCGACAACAAGTGATCATCTTATCCCAGCGGAGGAAAAAACGCCGAATTCTTCTCATGATGTCCCAGACCACTATGAAAGAATAACCAAGCTGCCGTCTGAAGCAAGCAAGCTCAGCTCCGCGGCTTGCAACATACAGTCCCTGAAAAACGTTCTTAAAGTCCGCATCGCAATGGCAGATATACCCAATAACATGTCCCCAGGGTCATTCACCACGCCAACTCGCCCGCTCACCTGGCTAATCACTGGATGCTCCTCGGGACTGGGACTAGCCATTGCGCGCCGTGCTCAGGCCGAGGGTCACTTTGTTATTGCCACGTCCCGTGATCCATCCAAAACCCCGGAGCTCGTCGCCGAGATAGAGCGTGATAACGGGAGCAAGGGCCGGTGGATCCAGCTCGACGCAACAGACACAAACAGCGGGGAGATTATCGAACGTCTGGAACGCGAAGGTCTCAAATGTGATATCCTGGTTAGCAACGCAGGCAGCTCTGTTCACAACGTCGTTGAGGCTTTCACAGAGGAAGAAGTACGCCGCCAAATGGAAGTACTGTACTTTGGTCCCTTTCGACTGATCAGGGCGGCGATACCGCACATGCGACGCCGCCGGTTTGGCGTCATAGTCAACATCAGTAGTGGAGCGGCACTTGAGGGAAGGGAGAGCATGGGGACGTATGCGTCTGGAAAAGCTGCAACAGACGGTAAGTAAAAGCATCATCGTATTGATCGCTCGTCCTCTATGCCTCACATTCTTCAGGGAGTAATGTGGTGCTGAGCACTAACTCTATGATGCGTTTTTGCGTGTCCCTACGCACACTGGAGCGTTGGGCACGGCACCAAGCATCAAGGACACCGGCTGCCGCACGCACAGCCATGTGAACAGGCAGCCGTGTGAACAGGCAGCCGTGTGAAACAGGCAGCCGTGTGAAACAGGCAGCCGTGTGAACAGGCATCGGTATGTGGCTGCCTTGTAAACCGGCCGGATCGCCTAGATAGTCCGACCTGGCTGCCTCCTACATAAGGATGAGGCAGTCATAGCTTAGTTGGAGAAACAACGATCCCACTTCATCTCATCCATATGCAAAATGCATCAGATTGGTAGCAATTCCTACCCTTTGCTTTGATTAGCACCAGTGAGCCATTGTGTAAGCCTCACACCATAGCTCAAGTCTGCTTGGGCACCACACGTGAGCCGTTGACTCGGGCTCGCACCAAAAAACCACCAAAACAACCATCGTGACTTACATAAGTCGCCCCCACGAGCTTACCCAAGCTCACCACCCCACGAGCTTATCCCAAAGCTCATCAATCCTTGGCTTGCTAACCAGCTAACCTTGTGGTGCGACCGACACCCTTGACAGCTAGCAGCCAACATTTCTTCACCCTCGTGATAACGCTATAGGGTCAATACCGTTGCATTAAGGTGTCTTTCGCTCGTGACGACTTTGGTGATAGGAAGTTTTGCGAAAGCCCGTGTAATCGTATATCACTATCGCAAGTGTCAGCTGGCAAGCAAACCGACCACACAATGGCCAAACCGACCAACGAAGGAAGCTCGGTCAAGCAAGCTGACGATAGAAGCTCGCCACGCCCGGCTGAAGAAGATGATGGACCCCGGCTACCGGACGCAGTCCAGCAACGCCGCCCGAAGCGCAACAGAGTCTCTCTCAACCCCAAGGACAATCATTCGCAATTGGCAGACCAATTACAGCAGCTCCCAGAAGCTCTCAACGCGTGGAAATGGTCCATCCGATTCCTCAAGCTGATGCGAGACAAATCTAAGGAAGCTCTCGATACCTTCACAGTCCGTGACAAGGAAGCATGTGAAGCCTTGGAAGATCTCCTTTCCACGTCTGTGCTCATCAAATCAGCCTACGCGAAGTATTGGCTGTACCACAAGCCGGCATCTCGGACCTCGAACATGTGCCTGCATGGAGAGCAGTGGTGGAAAAAGCCTATATTGTGCCGGAACCCACAGAGGACAACATGATGAAATTGATCTCGAAGATCACGCCCAAGGAAGTTGATTCGAGGTCAATGACATCAATTGGTATATCTTCCGGATGCCGACCAACAACTTCCCACGGAACAGCGAGGTATAAATTCTCAAGCTATGTTGCAGTCAACGGAACCCCCAAAGGCGCCAACTCAGTCACAATCACCTTCAGGCGTGAGGAAGCAGAAAGGAAGCCGGCATAGCCACCACAGCCGCCGCGACCGCCGCAGTCACCACAAGCATCGCAGATACCTACGACTAGATGATTCAAGCGACTCGGAATCTTCTTCTTCCAGCAGCAGCAGCTCTGGAAGCAGCATTGGCATTGGATACGCTCACAGCCGCCGGAGCGCCTCTCTACCACACAGACCTTTCAAACCTCTAGTGATGTGGAAGCTGTTGCCAAGAGGCTCAAACGTGACAACATGGGTGTTTTCAACCCCAATCACAAGGATCCTCATAAACAAGGCCTTGTGTCCCTCTCAAGCGGCAGCAATGTGTACACGGATGTATACCTCTTCTGCGAGCGCCTGCGAATGTACAAGGATCTCGACTCCTACGCCTTGTCGCAGCACTATATGTCTTTCCTTGCCGGCGGAGCTCTACAGTGGTTCATGAATGAACTTTCCATCGAGCAGAAGGATCGCCTTATGAAGTCATCAGTAGAGCGTTTCTGTAAAATGCTCATCAAGCGATTCCAACGCCCAGCAGCAGAGGTCTCCAAGGAATTACACGGCATTCCGTATACCGTGTCAATGTGGAATGCTGGTGAAGTCTCCTTGCCTCAATGGATTCAACGGAAAGTCTCCCTAGCAAGGCAAATCAACATCGAAAAGGACTACCAAATCATCCAAAGCATCCACCCTTGATTGCGGTCCAAATCGCTACTCACCTCTCTGTGCCCACTAAACGCACGCCAATTGACAAGTGGGTACGAGAAATCGAGGAACGCCGACCCTGATCTCCGCGGCATTGGAATTTCGCGGCAGATACGATGAACGCCCCCAAGGCCGTGACCGTGACCGCAACTACCAAAGTCGTGATCGTAGTAGTGATCGTGATCGCAGCTTTAGGAACGATAGCCGCGACCGCGACCGCAGCTATCAGCGAGATCACTACCAACGCGATCGAGGCCTTGACCGCAGAGACCGCAGCAACCCCAGCAGCGACTCACGGGCCAAGGAAAGGCGAGAGAACCGCCCCAAAGATCCTCAGCGCAATGAGCGAAGCGGCGGCTATGAGAAAAAGGTCCGCTTTGAGAAAAATTACCTTGCCAGCGAGGACGAAAACAAGCAAGATGCTTCAGACAACAAGAAAACCGCCATTTCCGACGACGATGAAGCCAGTGATGTAGGATCAGACGCTTCTATCGAGGAATACTACGTCTGTATGACCTCAACTCCTGAGAATCTTGGCCAACAAGGAAACCACCAATGCCGAAAGTGTAACCGCAAGTTCCTCCCGCAGTGTGTTATTTGAGCACACACAAGCACGCTGCTGTGTGTCTGCTCAACAGCTCCAGCAGGAGGCGACCCCAGCAAGACCTTCGTTATGTGGGAAATGCTACGCCCAATTTCCCTCACGCAATGCACTCTTCAGGCACCTTCCTGGCTGCGTGTCACAGCCCAAGGCCCACTCAAATGGAGAGGCATATAAAGCCGTAGAGCAGCACAATCCAATTCCTCCCCAGAAAGCCCAGTATCTTTGGGAACAATCGCGAGCGCTATCGCAGGAAATCCTCGAGCCACAACCGCTCGAGCCGCCATCGCACGATGCCCTTTCGGCTACTCATATCTTCGCATCAAGATCAAGGCAGCTCCCACAGGACCAGAGACCGAGGTCTGTGCGGATTCCGGGTGGCAACCCCTGATTGACAGAAAGCTTCTCAAGAGCTTCGAGCACACCATTGAGAAGAAGCCTCCAACGCCAATTGCAGGCATCAGCGGCAGTGTCCGCTGCACAGACTGGGCACGTTCTCCTTCTATGCAGAAGGAAAGAGGGCTGACGGTAGCAGCGCCGGCATAGCTAAATTCACCAGTTCCGCTTGGGTGACTACCGTGGAACCAGGAGCCTTGCTAGGCAATGCCTTCCTCAAGCCGTATGTTGGAAACATCCACTACGACAAGGAAGTCGTTCAAATAGGCCTCCTTGACGACTTCGGTATCCCTTTTAACATCTATAAGCCTCATAAAGGGGTAGTCCGACGCGTTCAGGCCGTCAGAAAAACCATGGTCCCGGCAGGCAAGACAATGCTAGTCCCAGCTAGCTGGAAGGAAGTCCCTAAAGGCCGTTCCTTCGCTTTTCATTCCAATCATCCCTTGGCCGCTCATGCTCTCGTTGACCGAAACACTGTCCCAGCGGTCATGTTCACGAACACTACGAACCAAGATATCATCGTGAACCGCAAACAGCGCCTAGGGCAGATCAAAGAATGCGAGGAATCGGGCTACTTCGCTGCAGCCTCATGGAAATCAGCTCTGACAGCTTTGACAATAGCCACAGCGGCCTTGGCCCCAACAACTTCTGCAATGACGATTGAAAGCGCTCCCCAGAGCCATACATCGTATGATCTTGCTATCAATAGCACCTTCCACCTCTCAGACGATGTTATCGCAATAGCTGACGGACTTTCACCCGGAGGAAGCCCTGTTCTAGCAGCAACCGCAGAATCAGTTTCAAGCTTATCAGAAGCTTTGTACGCATACACAACAGCAGCCAGCAACGACAGCCAGCCTTGGTCAACAACAAGAAAGGAGCTCCACGTCACAAGCACCCAGCTGAGTGCAGCAGCAACAGCCGATACTCCTGACCTTGCCCTGAGACCCGAATTCCGTATCAAACGCACGTTCAACGCACGCCAGAGCTCCCAGAGGTGTGCACTGACGACGGAATTCACATCTATGCGCAGAAAGGCAGCTTCGTGACCAAGATCAAAGCCCTTGTTGAAAAACACGCCAAACTATGGAAAGACTCGGGCACAGCTGAAGTCGAAGCAGGCCACGAGCTCACAGTTCCCCTTATCAAGGATTGGCACACGCACAAGGTGGCTCAACGCCCCTATCCTCAGGGATTACGAGACAAACAGGTCATTGATGAAACCCATGACAAGCTCCACGCACAAGGACGTATGGAATACGTGCACGGACCAACCCCTTTTGCAGCCCCCGTCTTCGTTGTGTGGCGAACAGCCCGAGGAGAAACCAAGGGCAGGGTCGTCATCGATTTGCGAGCTCTTAATAAGGTCACCATGCCAGACAGCTATCCCTTGCCATTGCAAGAAGACATCATCCAAGAGCTTCGAGGCGCACAGTACATCACAGCAATCGACGCATCGTCCTTTACCACCAATTCCGAGTCAAACTCGAACATCGTGATCGTTTTACCCTCACGAGCCATAGAGGACTGGAAAGACTGACTGTTGCACCAATTGGCTTCTGCAATAGCCCGGCCTACGCCCAGCGCTATATGGATCGAGTGCTTCGACCATATAAGGGTTTTGCAGAGCGTTTATGGACGACGTTGTGATCTATTCGAAAACGGAAAAGGAGCACTTACAGCACCTTAGCAAGATCTTCCAGCTATTCGAGCGTTTTAACCTCACGATGTCGCCAAAGAAAAGCTGGATTGGGTATCCTCTGTGCAACTCCTTGGCTTCCGCGTTGATGCCTTTGGAATGAGCACAACGGAACACAGGCTGGCAGCCTTTGCAAAGCTGGAATTTCCAGACCAGCTATCTGCGTTGGAAAGCTACATTGGAGCAACAGGCTACCTACGGCATCTCTTACCGTATTATGGAGCCCTCATTGAGCCATTGCAGCACCGGAAAACTCAATTACTAGCCCAAGGACGAGAAATTGGCAAAATTCAGCAAGGTAACATCAACAAACGCCGTGCCTTTGCGAGGAACACCAAATTCGAGCCTAGTGAAAAGGAGCGGTTGGCATTTGAAGCTATCCAAAAGGAAGTAGCCTCCGGCAGGATGATCCACCATATGGACCCAAGCAGGCAACTGTTCTGTCAAGTTGACGGGTCCTTGCAACGAGGATTTGCCTGTACCTACTTCCACCTTAAAGAAGGTTACGAATGGAAGCCTGGCCAAGCTATTTCCTCAACAGCGATGCAACCTATAGCTTTTCTCAGCCGCACCCTCACCAACGCAGAGAGATCATATGGTCCGTCGGAATTAGAAGTGGCCTGCCTAGTCTGGGCTATCAAAAAAGATGCGCACAGTGGTCCAATCGTCAACGAAGCCCTTAATCGTGCTTACGGACCATTCAGCCACACAGCAGATCGTCAATAAGACCTCCCTCGACACTTCAAGCACGGACAGAGCAAATAGACGGCTAGTAGTAGCCTCCATCTATCTCTCTCAGTACGAATTGCAGGTTGATCATCTTCCAGGGAAAATCAATTTCATCCCTGATGCCTTAAGCAGGCTGTCAGCCCCTGAGACCGACCAATTGATCGAGCGACAACGACCTGACTACACAGCGCTTGACGATGTGCTCCTTGCGTCTGAGGCCATCATGGATCCAGCATACCGCATCAAATTCACAGAAGGCTATCAGGCTGATACCCATTATCGCAAGATCCTTCAAATGATCCAGGACAGTGAGAACACGGTCAAAGCTTCTAGGGCCCCGGAAATCGCGAAAATCAAGCGCAGAGGAATTCCCTTTTTCGTGGACCAGGGTCTGTTATATCACGAAGGAAAAGATGGATATGTTCGTCTCTGCGTGCCCGCAAGCCTCACGCACGAATTGCACAGGTCCCGGGGCCGGCTGACCGGTCATCCGGTAATCGGATTACCGCCCCGCCCCACGCAAAACCATGTCGTTTTCGAAGGCCCGGCCCTGCGGGGCTGGCGTTTTCTTAGTCGGATTACCGCCATCGGACGGCAAAATCGAAGGTCCACGCCCGCGGGGCCCTGCGCGAGACCTTCGATTTCGGTCTCGCTCACGCGCGTTGCGCTCCACCTCCCTCCTCCCACCTCCCTCCTCCACCTCCTCCATTGCCACCGTCGCGACGGCGACCGCCTGCACCATGTCGAACGCGATAGAGGATCCCCGGGTCAGGGCGGCCATTGAGCACTACCTGTTAGATCTGGAGAACACCCAGCCGAAGAATACGAAGCGAAATTATCGTCCCAAGCAGGAAGAATGGAAGGCAAGCCCGCATGCGCGCCCTGCAATCTTCATGTAGATCCATGCATTGACTGCCTCACAGGAGTGGTGTCAAGCCAACTGGCCTGCGATCCCGGACGTTTGGCCGGCCTCGGTACCACAGGGCCAACAGCTACCGGGAGACCTGGTCGATGAAGGAAAGCTCTTGCTCTTCATGAAGGAGGTAGTGGCATCACGTCCTCCAAAGAAAGGAAAGAGGGTCGCCGATGAAAGAAAACGACACCTCGAGGCTCAGGAAGCCAAGAGGGCCGTGAAAAGACGCAGAGCACCATCAGGTAACAGATGTTGATCACGGGATGTGGTCGTCGGACTGAGCCAGCCCATCATACTAACACCCAGCTTCCCCCAGCAGATACCATCGTTGTAGGCGGCGGAGGTAGCGAATACGAGTCAGACTCCGACTTGGAGTTGTATGAGTCCACGCTCAAACTACAGTATAATACTGTACGGGGCTACGTCTCGGCCATACAGAAGCTTTACGACGAGCAGAAGAGCCGGGAGTCAATCCTGCGGCCCGGCCACAGGAGTGGCACTGAAGGCGCTCAAACGCAGCATTCTTGCAACGACTTGGAGCCGGAAGAGGAAGGAATACATGGACAGGGAGTTGGAACTCTGAGAGATGTGTATGCGCCGGCGCAGATACCCGACCACACCAACGTGGCATGGTCCGAGAGAGAGAGATCGCCTGCGCCCTGAGGACGCAGGTGGACTTTCTGCTCGGGAACCACATGCTGCTGCGGTCCGGCAACCGCCTGCCGATGGAGTTGGCAGACTGCTTTCCCTGGACTTACCCAACGAGGGCTTCAAGGCCCAGGGTATACCACGAAGGCGCTGGTTGTCGTGATGAACTGTGGGAAGACCAACCAGCACGGCCGCATGGAGTATGGATCTGCTTTGCGGCATCGAGATCCGCGATCTTGTCTCATCGGCGCCCTCGCGTTCTGGCTTTTCTGGCGCTGGCAGGTAGAAAAGGCGGAAAGGTTTCCGTCTTCCAAAGAAGCGAAGACTGGTATGAAACGAAGGTGCTCCGCCGATCGGCGAAGGAGCCTCAAGGTAAGCGTGATGGCATTCACCGGAATCCCATAACTCAGAGGTGCATCGACCCTTTCACTCACCGAATATACAGCTCCGTTGTCGGGCCAGACTGCCCGAGAATGGACGTCCAGGTTCTACAAGAAGGCCGGCATCAAGGTCTCCAAGGTCAGCCACGCGCCTAGAGTGGCCGCGACGCAAAACGCCGACATGGCCGGAGTGGATGAAGGCCAGGCATGTCATCTGCCCTAGGCAAGCCGCCAACCCCTGGCCTGGGCTGACCTGAACTATACAGATCCGCCGAGCCGGTCGTTGGAATAACGGAGACCAAATGACCGGCTGCTATCTGACTTCCTGCCTTTCGAATTCATGAGGGCCGTGGCCGACTTTGACCCTGAATGGTCGGGGTCTTATTTCGTGCCCGGCCACCGTGAGGCCGCCTGTGGTGCTACTCGTGCAGGTCTGGCCTCAACTCGACAAATGGAAAGAGGCCCACAGTAGCCCTTTCTCAGATCTCGGGGTGGAGCAGAACATGGCCGCCGGCGCCTTCTTGGAACTCCTGGAGTGGCTTCGAGAGGTGCTCCTGCAGGACGCTGTCTTCCTTCGCGAGTCCTACCCCGACCATCCTATCTTTCAGGATCCGGTCTTCTCTTGCCCTGAGTTTGAAGCGTTCGCCAGCAAAGTTCAAGACACATGCACACGGGACCACGAAGACAGCCATACCACGGTCATTCAAAAAGCGATCCCGGTGGTTGCGGAGAAGCTGCGCACAGTACTGACTCAACAGGTCGCAGCCGAGCAGTTAGCTGAGCGAAGACATCTAGACCTTTTGGGGGCTTCTTACGAACTATGCACAAAGTTGGATGAGTTTGCGCAGGCCACCTACACCGTCACCTTCAGCCCCGGCCAAGGTGCTGCAGGTCAACATGCGGAGATCGCGGGAGCTCATCAACAGAGGCGCCGCGCTCCACGAGAGACGGTCCTCAGGTCCGAGATAGGCCCTTCGCAAGCGGGCGGTCCGACATACGCTCCGCTCTCTAGAGCAGCAGCAGGGAATGGTGCAAGCGGGCCAGGGCAAGCCCCAGGGAAGAGCGCATGGCGAGCCGCCTGGGCCGCGCGAACCTCCGAGCTTCAAGCTCCCCGTTCTGTCAAATCTGTACAGGAGCTGCTGCGTCTCTGGCGGCAGGGCTGGGGCGAAATGCCTTCTGTGGATTCTCTTGAGCGAGACTGGGGTGCTCGATGGCGGCCATCTGCAGAGAAGAATTACCTTTCCACGCGCAAGATCATCGTCGATGAGGTTCGGAGGCGGGCCCAGTCGGACGGCTTAACTGAAGATATCGTGGCGAGGCAAATGGACGAAGAACGTGGACCCAGCTCTTTGGATAAGTTGTTCAAGGCCATCCGAAAGGACAGGCAAGGCGAAAAAGGGACACAAACGTGCGTCGGGGCAATTCAACGTCGGTGGTAGCGAAAAGTCGATGGCGCAGTGATTTTGAACACCCGTCTGATAGAATGACGAGGACCTTGGCGGCGAAAGTGCCCCAGGCCGTCAGGGCTGCGTCGCTACAGTCAGCGGTAGTGGCCTGTAGACAGGGTATGCATCCGCTAAGCGCCGCTGTAGCTCCAGTGCGTCAAGGCTAGAAAATGCTTCAAATCACCGCAACCTCGCAACCGACAGGATGTAGGACCTTAGACAGGGTGCATTCTGATCGCACAAACGCAGGCTATCCAGTCGAACTGGTTTTCTCGTCGTCGGTCCCGGCTTTCGCGCTTTATGGCGCTCCGAAGATGACATCAACCCGGCAGAGGTGATGTCAAGGGCAAGCGGGTAATCGGCGGTAATCTGCGGGGTAATCCGCTGACCGCCCACCAAAGCCGGACCTGTGACATCCACTTGATGCAAATGGCACACGACGACAAGCACCACTTTGGCGTTGTGAGAATGCTCAAGGAGTTGGAAACCTATTCGATCAGGAACGTCTCTTGGCAAGCGAAAAAGCACATCGCCAAGTGCAAAGCTTGCTGCCTTGGACAGACTGATCGACAACAGCTTGCTGGAAGCTATCTGCCCAATCGACCCCCGATGCTTCCAATGCAGTCAATTGCAATGGACTTCATCACAGACATGCCTGCCGTCTCAGCTATGGGCTCACCCTGGCATATTGAAGGCTTTAATGCCTTTAATCAATTACTTACAGTCACTTGCTTAGCTAGCAAGCGATGCCTACTGATTCCAGGCAATGCAAAGTATAGCGCCAAGGACTGGGCAGCCTCCCTAGCTAGGCAGCTCATGCTATGTGATTGGGGCATGCCGCGCACGATAGTCAGTGACAGAGACCGCAAATTCACCTCTGCTTTCTGGCAAGGGCTCTGGAAGGCCTTTGGCACCAGAATCAGCATGACAACGGCATATCATCCGCAGGCGGACGGCTTGGCGAGCGGCGCAATCAAACAGTGGAAACAGCGTTGCGACTGGCCTATATTGAGGACCCCAACCTTGACTGGAAGACCCTTATTCCTTCGCTGCAGTGGCATCTAAACACAGCCTACAACACCAGCACGAAGACCTCAGCCCATGAACTAATGTACGGTTTCCCCTGAAAGGGCCCTGGAGGCTGTTGATCGCACAGCCAGCGCAGAGGCAGACGAATTGCCCTACATCAAGGAAGCCTTGCGTAAGCAGGCCAGCCTAGCTATGGACCTTGCAGCGATGAAGGCCAAGCGTTGGTACGATGCCAAACACCGACCTATCCATCTCAAGGCTGGAGACAAGGTATATCTCAAGCTTCATCAGGATATCACCAGCCAGGCAGGCCACCCAAGAAGTGGTCACAACAGCGGGAAGGCCCTTTGTGATCAGAAGGATGGTTGGAGACCTGGCCTGTGAATTGGACCTTCCAGAGCAAATTAAGGTCCACCCAGTGATCTCAATACACCACCTCAAGCCAGCTCACGAAGGCTGCTTTGAAGAAGCTCACCCCGGACCAGTAGAAGTCACAAAGGACTTTACGGACCAGGAAGGCGAATTCTACGAAGTTGACAAGCTTCTGGACGTACGGGTCAGGAAGATTGGAAGAAACAGGAAGCCCGTCACGGAGTACTTGGTCCACTGGAAAGGATGGGGCAGCATGCATGATCAGTGGGTCAGGAAGGAAGAGATATCGTCAAAGGCCCTGGATGAGTTCCACGGGCAGACGACGGGACCGCGAGTGGTTCGCAACAGCAAAGCAAAGGGACGATCGGAAAGTTCTGACATGTAGCCTTTGTTGAGGCAGTCACTGAGGACAGTGGAGTTTTCTTTTGAGGCCGGCATTATGATGCGTTTTTGCGTGTCCCTACGCACACTGGAGCGTTGGGCACGGCACCAAGCATCAAGGACACCGGCTGCCGCACGCACAGCCATGTGAACAGGCAGCCGTGTGAACAGGCAGCCGTGTGAAACAGGCAGCCGTGTGAAACAGGCAGCCGTGTGAACAGGCATCGGTATGTGGCTGCCTTGTAAACCGGCCGGATCGCCTAGATAGTCCGACCTGGCTGCCTCCTACATAAGGATGAGGCAGTCATAGCTTAGTTGGAGAAACAACGATCCCACTTCATCTCATCCATATGCAAAATGCATCACTCTATTTCCAAACAACAGCTCTGGTCAAAGTTTTGGCCAAGGAAGTCGCCGAGTTCAATGTTCGAACGCTGACCGTGCACCTGGGGTCATTTAATACGAATATGCCCAACGCTGCTAGCTCATGTTGCAATCCGTTGCCGACAGAATACAACGGTACCATTGCCGACAAAACAATTGAGATCATGCACAGAGGCCCATTTGTTGCTCGTGGAGATAAGGAAAAGGCGGCAAGGCAGATCTTTAACGTTGCCGTGGGCCAGGAGGTTGGCGCTGGGCATGAGGGGGAGTTTTTCTTGCCACTGGGTGAGGAGATGCCCGCTCGAATCAAGCTGGTCAGGGACCGTCTCGATCACTGTCTGAATGTGTATGGGGATGTCTGTAATGATGTGAAGGTGAGCAAGCAGCCATTTAATCTCGAAGGACTGAAAGCTCTTGATTCTTCTCTCTGAGGAGCGACTCAGATTGCTTTCAATAGCCGGGAGTCCTCTGTCTACCATAAATCAATTCGAGCAACTTTTACACTAAAGTTGATTTGATTAACAGGCTTCTAATCTAAAGTTGACTTATTTAATTTAATTAACCCCTTATAATAAATTGGATCGGCAACATATACACTTGGCGTATTACCGTTGTTTGCGGGTCCTTGAGGCTCAATTGCCTAGATAATTGCCCAGCTTTACACTACTGTGTTAGACCTAATTCCTTGGACAATACATATGCTCTAGCTGTTGGATCCACCTGTGCACTAGGCACCGATCGCGCACGTATAACTAATCGACCGCGCTAGTCACGTGCGAGTAAGAGGTGAGACACAGGGAGGAAGGTCTTTGCACACAGTTTGTATGGGACACGTTTCCCTAGTTACACAAGATATAACCAATTGAACCAGTTCGAATAACCTCACTGCAGTGAAGAGCCTGTCCACACTGATCAGTGTCGCCCGGCAAAGGTGACACAGAACAGCAAGACGGAAGAGAGCTAACCTATCGTCACGCTCTGCAAAGCGAGCTCCCTGACGGTAGGATAGTTGCTACAACGCGCGGATTGCTACGAAGACTCTGCATCAGAGCCCACTCTAGTTATCCAACCGTGCCTAAGCTTTGCTGTCATCAGCGACCCTTAGGCGTGCCCTATCGCACATTGATAACCTCATTGACACCCTGTGCCCTGTTTCTCAGCACACAGCCTGTCAATATGTCTGACAATTCATCTGCCGCACTAGCCCCGGCAACAGCCCAGGATACCCCGGCCAACGTGTCTCTCGAAGACAGGCAACTCGTTGAACGGAACCTGACGATCGTGGAGCTCCCTTCACTCCCGATCAGGCATTTCGACGCGGATTTCCTCAACGAACCTATCACCCAGAGCTCCTCCCTTGTCCACCGCAACAGCTTCTTCTTAGGCTGTGTGGCAACATACACGGTGGATAAACGTAACCACGGAATTGCCCTGCTTGGGGATCTGTATAACGACTTCACGGGATGGAGCTATGATGACTTCGAACTAATCAACCCACGCCTTAGATCAAGACTCCGGACGCTTCTCAGAATTAGGGGGATCTATATGGGCAAGGCCAACTCTAGCATCTCTCGAGCTTTATGTGGCCTTCTAACAAGTAACGAACTTCCTGAATGGGATGAGAACGAGTTGCTTGGTCAAGAGGTTGCTGAAAACACCGTGGCATATAAGGTGAAACAGAAGCTGCTCCAAGGAACTGTTAAAGCGGCTATATCGTCACCGGCACCGGTAGTAATCCAGCAGCCAACTATTACCCGACCGGCGGAACCGGAATCCCCTCAGATCATTGAGACCCATCAACCCGCTCAGCAAGAGCCTCAGCATCAATGGCGCGAATCCCCTCGGTATCAGCAGACGCTCCCCGTACGGACTACCAACTTCCGAGATGCATACACGAGCATTCCACCTGTTCGATTCGAGAACGAGGAAGTTGAGGCCGATCTCACGATTAGATTCATTAAGATATGGGACAAGAAACTAGCCTATACCGGCGAACCATACGATATCTTCGATGACAAGATCCGGAAATTCATGAGCGTGTGCCGTCAAGCAAACATTCCTCCGTCTAAATTCCATGGTGTTTTCCCTTCGATTCTGGCCAAGGAAGCTCAGTCCTTCTTTCTACACGAAATCAGCACTGATTTAACCTTCGCTGAGATGTATCAGAAGATGAAAGAGCACTTTGACACCGAAATCAACCAGAAGATGTATCATACCCACTGGAGCACCTCACCTTCAGCCGACTTCGGGCTGAGATGCCCGTAAGTCATCTGACGAGGTCCTCCAGGCCCTTCTTACGAAATTGCGGCTCTGTAGGAGCACTCTCGGGGATAAGTCTGGCGGCGAAGGTGGCCTGATCGATGCAACGCTCAGGGCGTGCCGTGGTGTGCCTGAATTCCGACTCGCGATATACTCTCCCGCACCTACATTTGAGGGATTGGCATCACAGCTTCGATCATCGCTATCTGCCATGCAAGATGAACGATCTGAACAACCCAGTGGCCAATATCCCCAAGACCTGGATAGAGGACATGATCAGCACTTCGTGGATCGCAAATTTCAGCGAAATTCCGGCGGAACAAGAGGTCAATCACAAAGGCGTCAGCCAAATTGGAAGAAGAAATGCTACGTTTGCGGCAAGGAAGGTTGTTTCTCAACGAGACATCCTGAAAACGAGAGAAAAGCAGCCAAAGAGAAGTATCTACGAGAGAGGCTTCCACGGTCAATCTCGTTCGTATGCTATGTTCTTGGCTGACTATGAAGGAATCACAGGATCAGGATGACTCGAGAACCGAGGAATCCGATGATTCTGACTCCTCTGACCCTTATGAATCGTTCTACGCTGCTGCGACCTTCTGTCCAACGAAGCTTTCCATCATCGGATCTCTCAGTAGGCATCAAGTTATTCAACAGTGACGAACCCACACAATTCATACTAGATCGTTACTCTCAAGACTCGTTCCAAGGAATCATGCCGGACACAGGTGCGGCATGCATATCGACGGGAGGAATCGAACAACTGCGTGCTCTCCAACGAGAGATGCCCCCAGTCCAATTCCGTGATGATCGCAAGCCCGAACCAGTTAGATTTGGTGCAGGAAGATTGGAAACACCACTTGGCGTGATCACCTTGAACACACCAGTGGGAGAGGTTGATTTTCATATAGTCAACGTGCCAACGCCATTCCTCCTATGCCTAGCTGATATGGATCGGCTCGGCGTATATTTAAATAACGTCACGAACGAG